TAAGGATTTTACAAATCCTCATTTTTAATGCATCGATTACCTTGTCAGTGAAATCAACCACCAAGAATAGTTCATGTATGACACAACTATTCTTAATTCGAACATGACAGATGGAAAGAAAAATGACGAAATTGAAAATGAGATTTTTATTCGTGTTGAAAGCTTACAATTAGCAAAAAACACAAACAGCGTTTGTGTACATCGTAGTTTATGTTGAGAGATGCAATCAAATGAGTTTTTAGGTAATTTTACAATGGATTCGAGGAAGTTGCAAGGAATTAATTCGGTTATTTCAATTGGGTAATAGTTAAAGTTTGCGTGAGTGGAAACAATTCTTAAACACAAAAGCAGATTTTTTCAGAGTTCGTTAGGATCATATTTATACTACAATTCATTTCTCAGTCGGTGGCGTGAAATCAAAGCGTTGTTCTGAAGATCCAGCTTTGCAGAGCTCCCGATTCATGAACTCTGCTAAAATAACCCGAACCTCGCTTCGGGATTATCATCGCTTCTCTCATTTAAGAGGAGGAAAAAAACTTTTAGTTTTTGCAACATCATCGATCATTTGCTTAGCGTGAACTCCATTTTCACTTCTTAGTACTAGAATTGTACTTCTTAGTACATGAGCACTATTNCTATTCCGTGTAACTCACCAGAAGATTATTGCGAGAACGAAAGATTAAGCATATTACGTGTACTGAAGAAAGATTTGAAGTATTAATCTAGAGTATCGAACTGAGATGGTATCTGACATAATCTTTACAATAACTCCTCTGTAGAGTCCTTCTTTGTATGCAAATGCCTGCAGACAGATTATACAGATCAAAACGTTTAAAAATTTGGCCTAACGACACATTTTTCTCTTCGCATTGATCACACTCGTATGGAATGACATCGCTCATGCCGAGTGTCCTCATATGATAAGAGCCTGTAATTTTGCTGATAAAATAAGTATACCGATCTAAATGAATTTTTGCGCGTATTGAGGAGGTCTTCCTATGCGCCATTTTCAACTGACATTCAGTTTCGCTAACCAAATTGAGGCATTAGCATTAGTCGTTCAACGATCTTATGTATTCGCAAACATATTTCATTTCAAATACTATGCAACAAAAATCACAATTCAATTAGTCTTTTCGACACAAAAATTTGTCATTTAATTTGGTGCACCGTCAATCTATTGCAACGCTTAGCAATGAAGGTGTGCTGATAAAAGAGAGCGAGCATCTGATTTCAGCGATTAGTCTGATGAATAGACGTCCTCGTGGATATCTTTGTCGACAGCAACGAATCCATCCATCATGCGGTCATTGATATCCTTCTTTGGGATTATTAATCTCGTCTAGCTGTCATTCATTAAATCCGTTTAATATGACTGCTGCACGAATACTGGCTCGCCGGATGTTTCAGCATAGGAAATCGTGAAAGCGCATATAATACTGGAAAACAATGTTTACTATTGTCTGAATGCAGCAGTCATCTTGATGCACCGCCCATCGAGTTGTCATCCTTTGACTATCCCGAAGTCGTTTCTGAATCGTCATTCCCGTCTCGTTCAACGTGACCGTTACGTGATCTATTCTGTCTCACATAATCCCTCGCTCAATTCACATTATAATCATACAGTACGGTTTGCAATTGTACTATATAATTACAATGTGTATGCACTAGTGATGGCGGCATCCAACCGATAATCAGTCGGAAAAATCTGACAATACCAGTCGGGATTCCGACGATCGGATTCTGACCGAGCAGTTTGCAAGGTCAGCCGTAACTCCGACTGTCGGAATTTCAATTTCAAGATGTCGAATCGGTTGAATTCCGACCGAACCGTTTCGACAGTCGGAATAATGAAAATTCATATCGATCGGATTCCAGTCGGCACAAAATTCCGTTCAGATGCCATCACAAGTATGTACACATAATCTGTTGAGCCATGTCAAATCATCATCTTTCAATGACACCAACTTATTCAGTGATTCAATGGTCAGTTGTGATCATTGGATCACTGAATAAGTTGGTGTCGCTGAGAGCTCAAACTATCGAACAAAGTATCACTTAATTAGGAGATGTTCTAGCAGTGTTGATGGTTTGGAGATTTAGCACTTCTTCTGTCATGAGCATTTCTATTTTCTCAATTTCTTCTTACAGTTTTTCGTGTTAATTCCTTAACCGTTTAATCTTCACATAAATTCGAATTCAGACGTCTGCGTAAGATTCAATTACCTCGGCTAGTTTTGATCATTTTCCGTGGCAGTTTTTATTGAAGACGAATCTCATGAAGTGTGAACATTAAAAGTTTGAATTTTCACATACGAATGATTCCAGGGAAGCATTTGATTTCATGCATTTGATTGAATTTGCATTATTCGAAGTGTATTTGAGTGCATTTGACTATAACTAACTGCCAAAATCAGCTTAAAAAAGTCATTCGCGCATCGCTTTACTGAGAAACTATCGAAATTCATCATGAATTTCTTCCATGATTTGAATAATTCGACGAATGAATTCGCTGCTTCTCACCACAACTAGAGAATCGTTGGCAAATTGTTTTACAATCGTTGAATGGTCACGAACCATTACAGTTACCTTCGAACTCGTTCATTTTTATGCGACTAAAAAGTGCCATACAACTCACTGCAATATAACGGCGTTTTTTGACGACGAAAATTTCAGCTTGAATGTGCGCATTCGCAGTAATTA